CTGCTTCTCTCTGCCTGGAAACTGGGCAGTGGTGGGCGTTGTCTCTCACGGATCTCTAACCCTTTTGTGGTTGCACACCTGGGATGGAGAGTCTGCTTTAAGAAACAGAGAGTTAAATCTTAAAGCATCTATTGGAGCATTTATAAAAACAAAAAGGAGAAACCCCAGGATTTGTTGAAGAAAAGATCAACAGCCATCCGTGTGGGCAATGGGAAAAAGAGGGACTAGTTTAGTAGACAGCTTAGCTAGGATTTGTCTGTGATTACGCGTGTACAGTGTCTGCCAGCTGCACTTATCCGAAGAACATCAGCACCCTCCTCCTTCTCAAGATGGGTGCAGTTCTGGAGTTTGGAGTTTTTTACTCAGGCAAGAACTTGTTACTGCCTAGCATGGAGTAACGAAAGGAACATTGGACTTAACAGAGAAAGTACCTAATCTTTCAGATATGGCGTGGCCTCTCCGGGTAGTCTCGCATCAGTAAAATGAGAATATAAATACCTGCCTTCACGACAAGGTTGTATAGTATGTGTGAAAGGTCTGAATTCTCCAAGGCGCCAATCAAATGAGATATCATTAAGTGTAATAATTGTGATCATTCACAGATGCTTAAAAGAAACTGTTGTTGTACTGCGGCTTGCAGGAAAGAAGACACCTGTGTGCTTGTAAATTAGGCTGTCTCACATCTTCTGAATCACTACACAGAAATCAGTTGTTCCAACAAAAGCCAGGAACTCGGATGCTGAACTTACTTTTCCTTATATTATTTTATATGTTTAAGACATATATGAATCTAGAATGTGCAAGTTAAGGGCTGCCTGCTTAGTAAAATCATCTTGAAACCGATTTATCTTTTCATATGACTTCCAGCTTCCAGTCTTACTAAGAATTATCGCCTTCTTTTGGGACTGTCTTCAAACTTCAGCAAGTTTTCTATTTGTCCTTGAAAACCTCTTTTAATCCTACTATGAATACTCTGTACATGGAAAGAGGCTGCTTGAAGTAGTCAACTCACACATGCTGTCATTTTACTTTTTTTTTTTTTCTTTTC